CCCAGGGCTGGACCCGCCCCTCGGGGGGATTCAGGGGGGACCCAGGCGTCCGGGGGGCACCCCCCTGTCCCCCCCAGTCACGGGACACGCCACAGAGCGTGACCGGGACACGCCAGGACACGTAACACGCAATAACACGTGATAAACATGCGATAACATGTGATAACATGTGATAACACGCAATAACATGCAATAACATGTGATAACATGTGATAACATACAATAACACACAACAACCCATCACAACAACATGCAATAACGTGCAATAACACTCAATAACACGTGATAACATACAATAACACACAACACATCACAACATGGGATAACATGTAATAGCACAGTAACACGTGATATCATGCAATAACACACAATAACACGTGACAACATGAAATGACACACAACAACACGTGATAACATGCAATAACACATCACAACAGGTGATAACATGCAATAACACATGATAACATGCAATAACACGTGATAACATACAATAACACACAACAGCACATCACAACAACATGCAATAACATGCAATAACACGCAATAACACATGATAAACATGCAATAACACACAACACATCACAACACGGGATAACATGCAATAGCACAGTAACACGTGATATCACACAATAACACATCACAACATGTTATAACATGCAATAACACACAATACCACGTGATAACATACAATAACACATCACAAAAACATGCAATAACATGCAATAACACATGATAAACATGCAATAACACACAATAACACATCACAACAGGTGGTAACATGCAATAACACATGATAACACACAATAACATGTGATAACATACAGGGACGTGCAATAACACATCACAACAACATGCAATAACATGCAATAACACGCAATAACACATGATAAACATGCAATAATACATGATAACACACAATAAAACACAATAACACGTGATAACATACAATAACACATCACAACAACATGCAATAACACGCAATAACACATGATAAACATGCAATAACACACAACACATCACAACACATGATAACATGTGATAACATGCAATAACACACAATAACATGCAATCACGTGTAACCACATGTAACAGCGCACAGGAACACGCAATAAGATGTAAGAACACGCAATAAGGCGAAACAGCCCGCGATAACACACGACAACACGCAGCGACACATGACAACATGCAATAACACGTCACAGCACACGATAACATACAAGAGCATGCAACAACACGTAGCATCATGTGATAACGTGTGACACGCACCAACACATAGCAACACGCAACACGATGCAAGAAGTGATGTCACGACATGCCATGACACGCCACAACATGCCATGACACGCCATGACACACAATGATATGCCACGACATGCCATGACACACCATGACACGCCACAACACACCGTAACACACAATGACATGCCATGACACACCATAACACACAGTCACATGCCATAACACGCCCTGACATGCAATTACACGCCATGACATGCCATGACACACAGCGACATGCCATGACATGCAACGACACACCATAACATGCTATTACATGCCATGACATGCCACGGCACCCCATGACACGCAATGACATGCCGTGACATGCAATGACACACCATAACATGCCCTGACATGCAATTACACGCCATGATATGCCGTGACACACCAGGAGACACAGCGACATGCCACGACACACAATGACACACCATAACACGCTATTACACGCCATGACACGCTGTGACACGCCATGACACGCAATGACACGCCGTGACACGCAATGACATGCCATGACACGCTATTACGTGCCATGACACGCCCTGACACGCCATGACACACCATGACATACCAGGAGACACAGCGACATGCCATGTCATGCAATGACACACCATAACATGCTATTACATGCCATGACACGCCACGGCACCCCATGACACGCAATGACATGCCATGACATGCAATGACACGCCATGACACGCAATGACACGCAATGACATGCCATGACACACCCCGACATGCCGTGACACACCAGGAGACACAGCGACATGCCACGACACACAATGACACACCATAACACGCTATTACACGCCATGACACGCTGTGACACGCCATGACACGCAATGACACGCCGTGACACGCAATGACATGCCATGACACGCTATTACGCGCCATGACACGCCCTGACACGCCATGACACACCATGACATACCAGGAGACACAGCGACATGCCATGTCATGCAATGACACACCATAACATGCTATTACATGCCATGACACGCCACGGCACCCCATGACACGCAATGACATGCCATGACATGCAATGACACGCCATGACACGCAATGACACGCAATGACATGCCATGACACACCCCGACATGCCGTGACACACCAGGAGACACAGCGACATGCCACGACACACAATGACACACCATAACACGCTATTACACGCCATGACACGCTGTGACACGCCATGACACGCAATGACACGCCGTGACACGCAATGACATGCCATGACACGCTATTACGTGCCATGACACGCCCTGACACGCCATGACACACCATGACATACCAGGAGACACAGCGACATGCCATGTCATGCAATGACACACCATAACATGCTATTACATGCCATGACACGCCACGGCACCCCATGACACGCAATGACATGCCATGACATGCAATGACACGCCATGACACGCAATGACACGCAATGACATGCCATGACACACCCCGACATGCCGTGACACACCAGGAGACACAGCGACATGCCACGACACACAATGACACACCATAACACGCTATTACACGCCATGACACGCTGTGACACGCCATGACACGCAATGACACGCCGTGACACGCAATGACATGCCATGACACGCTATTACGCGCCATGACACGCCCTGACACGCCATGACACACCATGACATACCAGGAGACACAGCGACATGCCATGTCATGCAATGACACACCATAACATGCTATTACATGCCATGACACGCCACGGCACCCCATGACACGCAATGACATGCCATGACATGCAATGACACGCCATGACACGCAATGACACGCAATGACATGCCATGACACA